CCCCCCCCCCCCCCCCCCCGCATTCGGTTCCGATAGGACCGATAGGAATGCCTTTTTTTCTGGGAATCCTCTCGAGGCGGAAGCCGAGAAGGCTCGCCTTGCGAAGGCTGTTGCCAACGGCATTCGCATCGGGGTGCTCCCTGTCTGTCAACGATTCAGGTTTCAAATCGCCCATCCGATGTCGCTCCCATACCATCGGTGAGTCGGACTCGGACCACTGTCTTGGCGGGCCGCCATCAAGGATCGGTTAAGCACCGTCGGGCGCGCGAGCAGTCAGCTTGAGTGTTTGTGCAGCGGCATGCATGCGGACGCTTCCCGCAGAGCCCGTGGGGCCCGCCAAGGGTTTTGCCGGGATTATAACCAGGCCTGCTAAGCATCGATCACGTCTCGTGGTGTTCCCCGGGACATGCCGATCTACGAAGGCTCGACAGGAGGATCCGCCGTGTCGTGTGTTTGTTTCTAGTGGTCGCCTTGTTTTGTTTTTGTGTTTTGTGTTGCTGTTGAAGATGAAACCCTAAAGCGAGGCAGGCAGAGCAAGCCTTAAACTTGTCCCTAAGATGAAGCCGCCCCATCGTCGTCCAAAAAAACAAATCCCATAGCGAGGAAGGCAAAGCACATCCTAGAATCGTCACGAAGGTGAAACCGTAAAGCGAGGAAGGCAAAGCCAACCCTAGAATCGTCCCTAAAGTGAAACCCTACAGCAGGGAAACCGGAGCAAAGACGACGAAAGTCGTCCCGGAGAGTTATAGTCGAAAGTCGTCGCGAAGATGATTTGATGCTAAAGCAAGGCAGGCAGAGCAAGCCCTAAAATTGTCCCTAAGATGAAGCCGCCCCAACATCGTCCAAAAAACACACCCTTTTGCGAGGAAGGCAGAGCCAATTGTAAAATCGTCACGAAGATATACGAAGATGAAGCCGTAAAGCGAGGAAGGCAAAGCAAACCCTAAAGTCGTCCCGAAGATGTTTTCCTGAAGCGAGGAAGGCAGAGGAACCCCTCAAAGTAAAGGGTTAAAATTAAAGGGTGCAGTGCGGGCTTCGTCCTAGTTGGGTGGGAGGCACAAAATACGGTTAAAGGTTAAAGGCGAAGCTAAACCCAGAAGTCCGGTCCAAGACATTGCAGCAGGCCCCGACCATCGAGAGAGAGAAACGACATGCCGAACAAAAAAAAGGAAAACACAGGGAATGGGTTCCTCGCCCCGCGAGTGAGGTAGCTAGTAGCGGCTAGTAGGCCAGGTTGGTACCGCTTGCTGGCCGCAGACACTCAGCGGGTAAGGGTTGCCAAGGAGTGCCTGCTTGTCATGGGTACTGTGCGAGGCAGCGATTCAACTCGCGCACTCCCAAACTCAGCTAGCTTGAACCGGCTCGAATTCAAGCCGGTCCACCGAAGATTGAAGATTGAAGATTTCCAAGAATTTCCAGGATTTGTTGGATAGGAATCTTCAATTTGCGAGGGGCCGTCTTAAATTCAAGTCGGCCCATCGTAAATTGAAAGTTCCTGTCCTGGTAATCTCAATCTTCAACGTTCGGTGAACCAACTCGAAACTCAAGCCGGTTCAAAGCTTTTGCACACTCCCAAACCCAGCCGGCTTGAAACGGCTCGAGTTTCAAGTTGGTCCAGCTTGAGTTCTAGCCGTTTCAAGCCTTCAAGCTTCACACACCGAAATCGAGGATTGCAGCAACACTTTCTCTGACATCTTCAATCTTGAAACTCAAGCCGTTCCAGCAGGCCCCCAAAAGGAGTTTGGAGTCTTTACCAGTCTAAAGAAATCCTATATACCCGGCTATAGTATCTTGATCCGGTTTTGTATCAGTCGCAACCTTACCGAAATCATCTAATCAAATGCCTCATCATTGAAACACTTGTCGAAACAGTCGAATCCTGTTATAAAGCTGTTGGAAGTAACCTTTCGAATCATGTCAAGCCTTAACAGACCTTGTACAGCCTGGCCGATTCTTGTGTGAAGGCACAGTCAATGGTAACTGCTGCTGTTCTTTCGACGGTACGCTGTAATGCGATGTAATGCGGCTCGTCCTAGCTAGGTGGGAGGCGAAAAAATGTCAAGCCTTTCTGAGAGCTTGGTCAACTTTGAGAGATTTGGCGATTTTGGATCGCTTTGGATACTTGAGATACTGTCGAAGCTGTTGAAATGGATCAAACCACCCAACTCCCTTTGGTTGTAGGGTTGGTGCACGCTTGCTTCTCTGCTCACGATGCTACCGACATGTGCCTCTCGAGTTTGTAATCAACAGTAGTCAGAGCATAGAACCGCATGTAGGAATGCAGACCAGCGATCGAAGGCACAACTAAGAGTAAGTCATGTATAGAGAAGCTTTGCTTACATGGAATAGTTCCTATGTAAATTACCTTGAAAAACGATGGTAATCATGTTAGTATGGCAAGTGGAAAGAAGAGAAAGCCAAAGCAGGCGGAAGGCAGGATATAGGAAACGCACCTTAAAAACGAAACGAAAGCCGGGGTCAGTTCGAGAAGGTCCGATTCCGGAGATCGTAGTGTTTTCAAGAGATGCAGAAATCGAGAAGGGGGACTTTTGTGCTCGGAAGCCATGAGCCCGGCTAGCCCGAGGAATAAGATACCCCGACGGCCTTTGGGGACCTTTGGGGCTCCTGGGAGCCCGCCTCCGTGACGGAGCTCAGGGAGTTCGGGCTATGGAATGCAAGGCCGTGCGGCCATTTCGTTTGCATGGGCGTGCTTTGGAAGTATGACTTGGCGTGGATAAACCCGTCATATGCCAATTCAATCTGATAGCTGGTCCGGCAGTGGGCCGGATGTGCTGGCAGCGGTGTCCTTCAAGGACTGAGCCATGAAAAACTTAGCTTTCCTGACAGACAAGCCCTTTAGTCTTTGATCGCTGCTCTTTCATGCTGACTACTGCTGCTTGAAGTTGGCTGAGAGTCTTTATAGTCTTGACATTTCAGAATCTTCGCGACCTAGATATGTACCAGAAATACCTGGTTTGGAGATTAAAATCTCTCTAGCAGGGATCCCTCAGTAGCAAACAACGACAGTGTCTTGCTGCTGGTGACCATGGTGGTGATGATGCCGATCGTGGTAGCACAAGCCATAATTATCAGGATGGTGATGGCGATGCTGGTGACGGTGCTGAAGAAGACGCGGATGGCTCGGCTCATCGTCTCCACCGCCATCAGTACTGTGGCTCATGTGTCCCATTCGGCGGAGTGCTCATTTAACCAGTTTTGGCTGGTAGCCGCTGCCTCGACTGTGGAGGCAACACATCACGTGTACTACAGTGGAAGCTGCTAATTTAATGGAATTTGCATGGTAATGTAAGTTCTATCATCACAGTCCAATCAACTTCACGAAGAACAGCAGCAGCACAAGCAGCAGCAATAGCAGCCTGCATCCGCAGGAACAGCAGGAAGGGGAGCCGGAGCGACAGCAGCACTGTGCATGACATGGAACACCGCTGCTCGTAATCAACGTGGCGCATGCCCACACACGATGTATATATATATATGTATATATAGATAGATAGATAGATAGATAGATAGATATAGAGTCTTGTAAGTTAACAGGTGTGCTTTATTCCAAGTTATGTGCCTACCCCTGAAACCCCTAACGCGCTCAAATCCCAGTTGAAGCTTTCCTTGACAGACTTTTTAAAGCCTTTCTGAAGCCTTCTTTACAGGCCTTCCGTCCATCCAGAACCCCCCTGCAATGCCGTGAGCTATCATTGCGCTCCTGGTGTTGTTGTCCCTCATTTTGTGTTTTTAAATTTTTGTCCGCCGGCAGGATAATCTCGCAAAATGTGTACCTTGCGATCCAGATTGAGACTCTGAGGCGTTTTGGTTTTTGATGGTTGTTTCACATCAGCCGAACCAATTGCCTGGGGAAGCCAAGTCGCGTAAACAGAGAGATGCATTTAATCCGGTTCGTTGAATGCTGGCGATGGACATGACAGCCCCGTTTTCCCCCAGGCGGACTTGGTACAATTCGTGCTTCCCCAGGCACGCATCGGCAGAGAACGCAAAAGAAGACGTCGTTACCCAATTCATGCCGGATTCCCTGTCGCTTCCGAGATGGAGGGCACAATCCACTATGTACAGGCCTTGCAGGAAACGGATGTTCTGGGAAGCCGTTAATACAGGTTGACGATCAAAGGGAGGCAATCTTTTCCACTTTGCTGCAGGTCCTGCAAATATCTCGTACAGATATTATGAGGCTTTTCGCTTGTCGATCATTGTTTCACATCAGGCGAACCAGTTGCCTGGGGAAGCCAAGTTGCGACGAGCCATTTCACCCATCTATGCCAGTTCGTTGAATTCTGGCGACGGACTGACAGCCCAGAAATGGCTTCCCCTGCGCGGACTTGGTTTAATTCGTGAGCAGAGCCGTCCGCTTAATGCGGGATTTGCTGTCGCTGTCGCGATGGAGGACAACCCGCTACGTACAGGCCGCGCAGGAAACAGAAGCGGTGATCTCTGGGTGCTCTAGGACCTAGGAAGCCGTTCATACACCTTGACGGTCAGAGGGAATCACGGTTCGTATCTTTTCTTCAGGTCCTGTAAATGTCGTACTTAGTCGTACTTGCATGACAACTTGATCGAGTCATCCGCTTTGAGCAAGGAACTCATACATGACATCGTGACCAAAGTGCTGGGGAGCCTCGGCAAACTGTTGTGTTTCTTTCAAAGCACCAAGATCAGAGCGCGTGTGTGTTTTCAAGGAATTCCCGGTCACCTCACAGCAGCTTGGCAGATGCGCTTGTTAAGGAGCGATCAACTCTAGACTCTCGACAAAAAAGCCGTGAGGCGCCAACAATTTACTCACGAAAGCACTGGGAGCTGACGCAAACCTCTCGGCGGAGTCGCTGCTGATGCTGCCCATTTCGAAGGCGAGGCTTCGCAGGTGGTCCATCGAAGGTCCTGCCGAGACTTCGGCACAAAAATTGTGTTCGACCCTTGCAGGTTCTCCACATAGACAAGCTGGCCCAGATCAATATTACGGTGAAGAATGCATCTGTGAGCCAGACCCTTCTGCCCGCTTTTGGCCGACCACAATCAATCAAGTGGATGTGTAGATTAATCGCGCTCAGGCCATCTAAATACATGGACAGCCATGGACATCTACTCTCCCAAGCCACAGGCTCGCAGCAGGGCATCTTTCGAGCATGTGCGACCGGCATCGTACATATGCTCGCCAGAAGTGCTACGGGAAATATGAGGTCGTGTTTTGCCACACATGACCATCCACCGATGCATCGGGAGGAGCTCTCCTTCGGCATGGAGCTTGAAGAACTCGACCTGCAGCTCCAGTCACTCGGCGAAAGCTCGGAGGCCGACGAAGGCCGGCGAAGAAAGCCGAGCCGCAGGTGTCTCCGTGTCTCCGTGCCTGCTTGGAAAGGAGATAATTTCTCGATTGACCCTCCCGTGGTGTGCCCTTTGTAGAGGCCAGCTCTGCCTAAGACTGCAAGGTTGAAGCTTGGTATTCTACCTGGCAGAGGGCCTGTGGGTGGCACTGAGCTGCAGGAGGAGTTCGCTGTCGCCCTGAAGATGTTTCTCGGCAGAATCCGGTTGCACAGAAGCATACAAAAGCTTTGCTACTCGCACGGTGCTCTCGCCTGTATGTCGTGCCTTTCCAGAGCAGTGCCGTTGAGCATGAGAGAAGGAGAACGGAGACTAACGGAGACAGGCAAAGCTCGGGTGCAACTGGCCCCGTGGAAGAAAAACTCAGACAGGGATCTGCTACTCTGCTACGGAAGCCCAAAAAGTCCAGCATGGCGTAATGCCACTTGATTCGCGGTGATCCAGAAGCCAAGCTTCAACATCAGTCATGAGTTGATGCTCCAACCTCATGGGAAGCTTTTTTTCTCATGACGATCCTAGCAGCGAGGTCGGAGCTATCCTTGGCTGCAAAGGCGTTTCTGGCATCTTGACGTGCAACTAAGTTGCGACATCTCATCCAACGAGATGAGCTGTGCTGACGTTCTGATGCTTGCTGTTCCTTAGGCCCTGCATAGAAGTGAAGGGTCCTGTGTCGCTGTGTCCTGAGGCTTTGAATGCCACCAGACTCGGTACCTTCACCACTGATCAGCTGGCATCAGTCGGGTGTTTGGCCTCAGGTGCCACAGCTTTTGAGTACATGGGCACCAGCGCTGCACGTGCTTGCTCCGTGTATGCTTAGCATCTGCCACACCTCATATCCCGAAGAGGTCTTGATGCGGCAGCTGCGCTCCAAGCAGACTTCGGCGCGACCTCCTTCCGAACAACCCTGACTCCTCGGCCTGGCAGGGCCCCGAGGGCCCTGATATGTTTCGATGATTGAAGCTCTGGAGCTGCTCAATGCTCGAATTGGTGGCGACACTTCAGACAGGCAGCGGCGACTTGGAGGATGATGTCGACCATATGCTGAACTCTGCCGCCGCCTTCCTGCTAGGACAATCTAAGCTTCGACCGGAATGTTCCAAGCTGCCACTGCCGGAAATCTTCCGGGCCTGGCGTGCAGGAGCTTACAAGGAAGCAATCCAGCAGGTCGGACACAGCATTCTCACGGCACAAGGTCTTCACATGGCCCGGGCCTTATGCAGAGCATCGCGAAGACCTTGCGGGCAATGCAGGCTGTTGCCTGTCGGCTTACATAGGTGAACGAGAAGATCAGCAGCTTCCTCTCAGCACCACCACCATGTCCACCTCCTGAGAATGCACGCTTGGCTGCAACTTCAGCAGTGCCCAGGGAACAGCAGCTGTGGTCACATTCAGCAGACACCCAGGACTTCAGCAATGACATGCTGTCGAATTCAGCTTTGGCTGCATTCGCAGTGTGCTTTTTGGCCCCCTCCTTACACGAAGTCTTGTGGTCATGTCTTAAAGCAGATGCGAGGGCAAACCTGCCTCGCGTGTGCCTGGCTTCACTGGTGGGGGAAACTCGTGAGTTTGCTAACCATGCAACAGACGGTGTCCTGCAGGCATCTTTAGGCACTTGCCTGGGCCTGTCCATCAAGTCGAAACTCGGCCACACTCAAGCCAAGTTAAACCTTCCCAAGATTCCGTGTGCAAGCTGGCCAAGGAAGAAGACAGATGCGCGGGCATGTCAAATGCAGGACTTGTGTATTTAGGCTACTCAGAGCTTCCTTGTGAAAAGCAAGATGCGCCTGCATACAATGACTCTGCATTCGCCGAAGGGTGCACGCGCGCATGCGTGTGTGTGTGTGTGTCTCTGTGTGTGCGCGCGCGTGTGTGTGTGTGTGTGTGTTTTCTCCCTCTTTGTGTTTTGGATTTGTGTGTTCGTTTGTGTTGTGTTGTGTTTTTTGTTTGTTTGTTCGTTCGTTTGTTTGTTGTGCACCCCGCTGATATCTCTACGTGCGGATACTTGGAAAGAACACTGCACGGTCTCTTGCATTGAGCAGCAGGACATGTCCTTGGCAACGACGGTAACAACAAGTACGGGGACCGGGCCTACTTCCTTGGTAGCAGAGATAGGCAAGGCAGCTTGAAAGAGTCGCAGGGGTGCAGTGCGAGGCGAAGAGAGCATTGAAGTAATTTCTTTACATACTCTTGAGTCTCGAAAAATGCAAGTTCAGTGCACCGATGCGCTTCATTGAACAGGCGGCGGTGGTGCTGTTCTTTCTGCCATGATGCCGGCGAGGGCTTTGGCTTTCCACCCGCGAACGCCGCCGTATATGCGTCGCCAAGCTAAATCGAAGAACTCCAGCTATGATGAGATAATTTGATAGTCTTAAAAATTGAAAAGGTTTTGTCTTGACTGAGTGGAACAGCAAGGTTGGGGCCTCCCGCTGCTAATGGCTGAAACAATTCTCATGCCCCGCGCCGGCAATTGGTCATGCAGCAAGCAGACTGCGCGACGGTCTCTTTGTCTTTGCTTTTCTCAGACTTGGGATTGCTTTGACTGCAGGTTCGTGTCGAGCAACTCTGGGATTGGGGCGGGCGTCGTCGTGGTGACCTCAGCAGGGCAACGTCTGTGGAAGAACCTGCTGCTAGCTGCTGCCTTATTCGTGAGGTTTCTGTGACAGCAAACGGGCGGCCTGTCGTGGATTTGCCGCCGACTTTCCAGTTCTCACTCATCGGATCCATCAAGGACATGTGGCAGGGACGCTCGGCCTCCGCAGTCCAGAGGAAGCCTGCACCAGGGCTGTCCTCACCCTCACGCAGTATCTCCCAGCCCATATAAGGAAAAGTATATGGCCTGGCGTTTCTTATCCTTGGATTCAGTGGACTTTGGCCCTACATCAAGCCGATCTTGATGCGTCCTGTCTTTTTATTTGGAGCATGGACTCGTACATGAAATGGAGGGCTTGATGCTGCCTTGGGCCATCTTCCCCTTCACAGGCTGGTCTGTTGGTTTACGCCGCCCTCCCGGCTGAGCGTTGCGAAGCGCCAGGGCTTGCTGAACTTCTTGGATGCCTTTGGCAAGTGGTCGTTGGTAGACACGTGACCTTGGCATACATTGGCAAGTCGTGTACAGGGCCTTGACGGGGTGTTGAAGCTTTCTGACAGCAGAGGCATGCTGCGGACTGGCCTGTTCTGCATCCAAGGTTTTTCATGGTGCTTTGCATGGTTGCCTTCAACTTCGACTTGCGAGCTGCTCTCATAAGTTTTAGAATTGCAGACTTTCCGAGTTTGAGTTGTAGGGCGAAGAGGAAAGCCTGTTGCAAAAAGGGAATGGCTTTATGCAGCGAGTTAGAGCTGCCCTTTGCCGAGGCTACTACTGATGGCCCAAAATTGCTCCATGATATTTTCCACGAGGCTGGTGCCGAAGCTGCGTTCAATGTCCATGTTCAACCAGACCTTGGCTTCTTGCACCTCGACGGCATTAACACCTGCCTGATGTGAGCACGAATGGATTCAGTGCCTGTACTTCGCACTGCTGAATGCTTTTCGCTCTAAGTACCTTCCTCGCTGCGACCTTTCTCTCGCTTATTGCTGGCCATATAACGACTGCCTGCCATCGCTATGCGCACAAGCTGGGCGAGTTCGGAGTAGAGGAGGACGGACCTTGTGAAGATTCGGAATCTTCTGCAGATCTCACTCCTGTTTCCGATGTCGCGCACAGGACAACGACAAACGACGACTGTGCTACGTTTTGTGCTCAAGCCCTCTGGATGTGCACGGCCCCACGATATCCATCGGCGTGTCCCTCTTGTCGCTTGCCTGATGTTGTGTGAGCACCCGAGTTCTCTATGTTCAGAAGCTGGGCCAAGTTAGTACATAACCTCAGCACAAGGTTGGTTCTCTGTGGCACGTTCTTGGAGACCTTCAACTTCAATTTCCTGGGCATGGCCGGCTATGCTTTGGGGGAGGAGGCAAACTCCAGCACGGACAGGGTCAGAGAGTTTGTTTTGCTGTTCCTAGCTGCCCTAGCTAGCTTGTGTTTGGTGTGGGAAGGCGCGACACCGCCCATTTTCGGTCTTCAGCCTGGGCCACTCTGCTGCAAGATTCGGGGCCCCAAGGGATGTCCACCAAGTCCATTGCTTCAAAAAAAAAGCGGGTGCTTCCGGGATTGAAACTCGTGACGAGTGTTAGAGGCACGAGAATTCGAAGCAGCAATCCGGACCCCGACAGCCACTTGTCTGCACTGGCCGCTGGCAGAGAGTTCGCGATCGCTTCACGGTGGAATCACTGCAAGCTTCAAGGGCCAGTCTTGCATTGCCGAAAGCTTTGTCAGCTGTACGGGTTGCTCGCCTTTGGCAGGTGCCGGGATTCTGATCCTCGCAGGACGCTGGGCACATCGACTGGATGCGCACCCGCACTTGGCTTCAAGCACCTCAGTGCCAGCCTGCAGGAGTCTACTTCCTCTTTACCACTATTGTCGTGGTCGCTTACCACGTGCAACCTCCCCAGACATCTCTTCGTGAAGATGGCACGGCATGGTGACCGGTGGCGAGTGCGAGCTCAGGATTTTGATGGTTCTGTGGACTGCTCCGTTGTCCAGAAGAGCACAAAAACAGTGGCTTCTGACCGCGCAGGTGTTCAATGCCTGGCAGCTTGGCAGAAGAATTCAGCATCTAGCGGACCAGGACATAAGATGCAACACCGTGTTCAAGGGATGAGTCTGCGAGGAGTGGCTTGGACGTTTTCTGTGTGACAATCTTGGCGGGAATCCTGGAGCTTCGGGAGTTTGCGCATTTCATTGTTGGCGACAAATGTGCCGAGCGCTCAGTCGCAGACCTGGCCAGGATGAGGGCATTGGCTTCGGGGTGCAGGGGGCTTCAAGGTGAGCAAAATTTTAAGGACTTGCAGATGTCTTTGTGGTTTTTGTTGGGGCGGCATGGAACGACCCTGACGATATTGGCAACGGCGGAGTTCGAAGTGACATGATTCAGGGATATTCAGGGATGTTTGCCGCGCTATTGCGAACTGGTATCTGGTTCTTGTTGCATTGGCAGTACAGGCGCAGTTTCAGCTTGGCACCACGAGACTGCAAGTTGACTGGCTCATTGCAACATTGAGTAAGCGTGGCATCAAGGACGCGATCAACCAGGCCGTTGCCAAGACGACATTGGCCGACAAGTTGCCAGGCCAAGCGCTTTACGAAGTAACTGAGAAAGGGTTTCGCTCTGCATCGCAGGTGGCGTCACCTGCTTTGATGTGGAGTCTACCCTTCGCGTGGGTTTCTTGATCTTGGCGCTGGCCGCGCGACAGCAGTGCTTCCGGGGCAAGTCTTTGAGCAATCAGCAGCAGTGATAGTCATTAGCCATGTTGCACTCAGCCAGAGGACGCTTGTAGTCTTGTAGTTGTCGGGTGGGAAGGCTGTCGTCATCTCCACGATAACTGGCCATATCATGATGGCAAAGTGCAGCAAAGCTTTATGCGACTTGGCTTCCCTTGATCAAGCTTTCCGTCGGGCCATGGCCGCTCAATGGCCTTGTCTCAGGCGCACCGCCAGCTGATGCGGATGTTCGAGAGGAGGCTTAAGCACACTGGCAGAATCAAGGCTCTTCAGAGCCGCCAGTGTTCGGTAAGCTGGACACGAGCCGCTGCTGCTCGAAGAGCACCCGCGGTTGAAGGCGATCAAGCCGCACGGAAGGTAAACTCTGGTATGGCCATTCTGTGTAGAAGGCCAGATTGGCATAATCGTCTCGAGATGTAACAGATCCCTCTCTTCCTGTGAAGGCTCTGCGATGTAAATGTGTTTGCAGGATCCAGCGGAAGCGTGCCACGCACGGGGCTGGGCACCTTGCTTCAATGCCGCATGTTGTCCAAAGACAACGGTGCGCCTTGAAAGTCTGGACCGCAACGGACGAGGTATGATGGCAGTCAGGACACTGCTGCCTACATTCTTACTGTCCGCCGATATTCATCACGGCGGAGAACGGGTACGTAGTCCCAGTACGGAGTGCGACAACCTGCGTGACACTGACGTCGGTTTCTTAATTAATTCCTACGGCAAGAGTAGACCATACATAACGAATGCACCCTAAACATGTCATATTGCTGGAAAGACAAATGTGCACTGACTTCGCTTCGCGACTTCGTCCGTCAAGATTTTTACGACATGCGGGGCACTTGGCCTCTGGAACGTTTGCCGAATGCCGCAAATCGCTACCCGCGTATGGCTGGGCGTTATTGGAAAAGGTGGCATTGCGACTGTGCCTCTCATCTGCTTGTCCGGATTCGCTTCCACAAGGCTCGACGTTGGGGAGACTTACTGTGGTGGCAGCTCCCGGCACGCTTGGACATGTGTGTCTGATTCAATGAAGGTTAAACTTAAACACCACTTTTGATTGAAGTGCTATGATGTGCTGACGGCTTCGTATGCTGCCGAGGTATGCCAGGTATGCCGAGATCCTGTAAATGTTGTAAATGATGAAATGCGGGCAGTACCTTTTTGCCAACTTTCACGTGATTGATTAGTCTCCACCTGTGGCCAGAGCAGTCACACCCTGTATGCATGTACAAGCATTCAGCATGCGTAACGGGGCAGCTTTGGCAAGTTTCTGTTGTTGCTGCAAGTTCACGCAGCAGGCAGTACATCGGTCAGCCGGCTCAGTTTGGTCAAAGACATCAAGCCCGGCAAGTCTTTACTCTGTCATGTAATGCTGAGACGCTCGTCTGGGCGGGTAAAACTCTAAGGCTCTGGCTTTCTGGGAACACAGTGCCCTGACAAGCAAGTGGCCCTCTACACTGTGCGAAGCTCATTCTGGCAATCTGGGGCTCCTTTCGCGGCTCCATCGCCTGCTTTCGATTCGAGGATGCGGCTCACAAGAATGAGTTAGCTCTTCAGACAATTTTCGAGGTGGGGCGGGAGGCTTGCTGGGAGGCATTTGAGGTCAGCTCAACATGAGGCTGAATGCCGACCCCCTCGCCAGTATCGCAAGTGAAGTACGCAAGGGGCTGACATGCGCGTTACCGCCGCCACTCCCTGGGCAGGCACTCTGTGAGCGACCAGCTACACTCGAGGAGTACCCCAAGAACTCCACACTAATAAGTGCTGGACTCAGTTGCGGAGTGTTATGGAGCCTTGGCAGTTCATGCTCGATGATGTTATATTCCCCCAGGTCGAAGCCCAGTTGTATGACATGGCAAGCAAAATGTATGCTAAACGCTGTAAAATGTGAGCCTTGGATGCGCAAAGCGCATGAGTTCGGAGTCCTCAGACTTCAGACACGAGGGCTGAAGCTTCGGCGTGAGGTGGGCATGAGGGCATGTGCACTGCAGCCCCTCCTCAAGAAAATGGGCAGTCATGAGTAATTACTGTTTTGTGGGTCGAGCTGGGCAGTGAGGGCAGCAGTTCCCTTGCGAAACAGGGCAGAGAGACGGACCCGACGGGATGTCTGCGGCGGGGTAGGATGGGATATGGCCACACGGAACCCTCACCCAACCTGTGTGCATATGTGCTTGTAAGTGTCAGGTCGCAGCAGCTCGTCTGTTCGGGTACTGCAGAACTTTCACAGCTTCTTCTGCTGAAAGGTCCCGCCCGCCCTCCCCAGCGTGGGAAGTGTGCGCATGCGCGCTGGATCCTGACTAGTGACGATTGGCCCAATGGCCTTGCTAGGGGCGGAGATTTCCTGTGACAGGGACGGACGGACGCAGGGGCATGTGCCCCCCCTTCTACAACAGCCGAAGATTTTGCAGCCAAAACTGTCCGCCCATGCCTCACTTTGTGTGTATGCACTACAGGTAAAGCTGAGGGTTTGCCGGAACAGAATCACAGGGGTCTAGTATGGTCGAAGCAAGACCGACTGCAAGAGTCTGAGGTAGTACAGAGACTCCAAAGAAAGGGACGGCGTGGTACGCAAGACCCGCCCAGCGGGTATCTCAGACAGCAAGTGCTTCTGCTTCCGACTTGCTTGACTGTTGATGGCGCAGCGCCGGCAGGTGCCAAGGCGAAAGGTTGACCAACCTGACGCGAGAGGCCAGCAGAGAAGCCTTCCCACAGTCACAGGCATGAAACATGTTGCACGGAATCAACGCAGGAAGGTGTAGTCTTGGGATTTCGGAGGTCAAATGCAAGTTCTTGTAATGAGATATGGCAACGAGACATCGCTCGCCGCAGTCGTGAACTCCCTCTTCTCCCAATCTTCTTTTGCTTGTGTTTCTGGTTTCCCTATCTTGCGAACCCTTTGCGTAAGACAAATCTGAATGTCACAATTTCCATTGCATGCTGCGTGTGCTTGAGCAAGGTCAAAGATTCTCCGAAACAACGGCTGTCAACAGTACTGACAAGAAGAATCAAGCCATGAATGCTCATCTTTGTCGTCGTAGTGGTAGTATCTTTTGTAGTCGTACTTTTGCTACTGCTCTTAGCAGCCGCAGCTGCAGCAGGAGTCGTATCGTCGTAGTCGTCGTCGTGGTGGTGTTAGTACTAGAAGGGGATGAGAAGAGAAAGAGTACAGTGCCACAACATCAATGACTTTCGGACAGGCTGCGGAAGCCAAGCAAGAAACCCGATGGTGGAAGGAGCAGGCCGGACCAGCAGCCCCATCACTTTCGTACGTTGGGAGAAGAAGTTATGTAATCATCTAATATAAGTATAACTACTGTATAGTATTCCTGATGTGTGTGCGGATCTGTTGCAGGAATGTATACTACTGGATAGAACTATCACAGCACAACACAACTGGAGTGTGCGAGTTTTTTGTTCATGGATCTTTGATGATCATTCCATCACGTCTGTGATGCTTGATGTTGATAGTTATAAATTACTCGTGTTCGTTGCCTTGTCTGCTTCTGCTCTGGTTATTGCTGTCACAACATAGCTATAAGTACGTTCATGCATCTGATCTCTCTTGCATGTTGTTTGAATGCATTGTATAGCCAGTATTAGGTTCCATCATCATTCCAGTCACACCCGAATATTCAAAATTCTGGCAGCTATGGCCATGGCTGGATTGGAGGCGGCAATCTCCAAAACTGCATTTGTTGAGCATTATGTCTTGAACCTCACGAAACACCTTCATGCTCAAAACTCCGAAATTCTGAATCTGAAGCTCAAGAAACATTAATGCACCTTCCAAAATTTGGGAGATTTCCGCTTGCATCCCAGCCGTATGCCCAAATTGGGGGTGAGCATGAAAGTGCGCTCCTCGTCACTCTCCGAGTGCAGCTTAGGCCTGAAGAATCCAAAATGATTTTTAAAAACCTATATTTAATAGGTTTTCAAAAACCTGTTAAGTATTTGGTGCACCCAAGCCCTGCGCCCCCAGCAACCGGCCTTGCGGTGGATCTGGGAAGGGGCAGGAGGGGCGAATGAGCAGACATGTTCTGTCCTTATGTTATACCCTTATATGTATGTAAGCACATCTGGATTCTGTTATCGGCATCCACACAAGGCATGTTGCAGCCTTTGCTGCACAAATGTCTGCAGTTACATCTGCATGTATGACATGTGGGCATGTAGAGAAGTGTACGTATGTATGTATGTATGTCTGTATACATGTATATATTTATATATGCCAACATACATTTGCGGTTACCGTTGCAAGCGTATGCACATATACACCATTGCATGTATACATGTGTATATATATATACACAGACAAACATACATACAAACAGATGTGTACCCGTGAATAACTATTTCAAGGACATTGGCGCTGCAGATGTAAAGCAATGTGAAGCATGCGACCACAACCACACATGCATATAAACACGCAGACAACCATCCGGTCTACTACCCGTAGCGGAACTAGTCTGTGTATACAGATATATCAATATATGCGAACAGATATACATAGTGATGTAGTTGGTTATAGATGTAAAGAACCAAATGAACAACTAGACGAACGAAGGAGCATTTGTATGCATAAATGCATGTGTGTTTGTTTGCTTGCTTGCTTGCTTATATGCTTGCTTGTACTTGCATGTGTGCGCATATGCATGCTTAGAGACGAGCCGATTTGCATACGATTGTATATTTTATTTAGAATTGTAGCTGTATGTGCATGTCCGTCCGTCCTTGGTCGGTTTGTATGTATGTATGGCTGTATATCTGTCCATCTGTATGCGTGTATGTGTAGGTGTGTTTGTGAATGTGTGTATAGCTTTCTTGTGAACAAGTACCTTCGCATGTATACGCATGCAGGCCGTCTCTAATTGCGCTTGTCTTCATACATACATGTCGAAATCAAAAAAATCAAAAGTATGCTTTTGCCAGTGTTGCTAGAAGATGAGGCCACATTACGTATGGCATGCACGGTTGCCATACCGCGTCAAGACACACACACACATGTCCATGCGTCACATGCTTACCTCACAAGCGCGGCAACCATGCTTACATGCACACAGGTTGATTGTCAAATGTTTCGCAAAACCGCAACACCACTTCTTCGGGGGATGTGCCAGGTCCAGGACGCTGCACGCCGCGCAGCCCAGGTCCTGAAGAAGCCCTTACCTTCTGGTAAGCAGGCGCAGTTGTGAGAGTAAGTGGAGGAGCCTTGCCGTCAACGTTGCTTAGGCTTTTGGGCAGTCGGTTGCGGAAACTGCTGCAAGATAGAACATCCGCAGCCTCCAGACCTACAGCGCTTGTAGTTTTGCATAGACTAGACTGAGATCGGTAGATCGGGTCGGAGTGCCATCGGAGTGCCTGGATGCCCCTCAACGATGCGCAGTTCTTGGCGCCGCTTGGCTGGTTCTCACACCTCGCCCATGGAAAAAGCATTTCCTCTTCGCAGAACAAGAATGCATAGTACCGGCTGATGCCTGATGCCGTACCATGCCGACATGCGAGGCTGGTGAAATCCCTGGCGCAAGAGCTGCCCTCAGCCTTTCCTTCACGCTGCCGTTTGGCGATCGAAGAGCTCTCCGAGAAGGGCATTGTGACTTAACTTGAACTTCGACTTTCCAGTGCCGTTGTGCTGGAAGTTAGGCCGGCGAGGCCAGAACGGAACATTCCCAGTATCCACTTCGAAGTGACGAACTCTGTGGAAACACATGAGCCCCCTTAACAGTTCCTGACATGCCAGACATAATGCAGATAAGATGGGACAAGGAGAGGCTGCATGGATCCTTAAGCTGTTTTGCAGTCTGGCCGGTGGGTTCTATCTATCTATCAATCTAACCGAATCGAATCTAATCTATCTATCTATCATCATCACCACCATCACCAGCAGCGAGAAGCGGGCCACATGAGAAATGCATCTTTGAAGAGCCCAGGAAAGAGGAAAAGACCTACCTCCAGATCTCTGCAAAGCAGTCTTGACCTTCGTCTGCTCGGTGGCATCTCCACGTGTCGCTGCCCAGCCGAAGCTCGGAAGAAGAGGTTTCTAAAGCAGACATAAGCCGCCTTCGGAACGTCACTGTGCCGTACGATGCCTGAAACTTGGAAGAGCGCAGTTGAGGGAGCTGCAGTTCCCCTGTTTGGAGCTCTTGGGACGAGCAGGCAGCGCTGCAGAGCAACGTCAGCACCTATAGCGTGTTCTTTCCTTCGCTTGCGTGCTCAGCGCTTCAGCCAATGAGTAGTCCCGAAAGTAGGTGTCCAACTGAGCGGACTCTAGCCAAGCCCTTCCCATCCGGAGCCTCTACCAAAAATCTGTGGACCCCGTGTGGCTAAGCTTTCCTTTTCGACTTGTTTTCCCCTTTGGCCATCGAGTGATCTTGGAAAAGGCCTGGCAGTGCGAGCCTACGAGGAGGATGCCAGCAAAGCAGATGTGCAGGCATTTTTCTTCAAGCTGCTCAAGAAGGAGGCTGGCACAAAGGGAGATCAACGCACAAACAGCGCTGCCGTCCAGTACAGCCACGTAGATCCGAAAGTCCAAGAGGCAAGAGGCAGGCTGAATTCTTCAGTGTAGAGAAGAACTGCTGGGATGGCTGCGCGTTCTGCGAGGCGAAAACCCAGCCGGCCTTCAAGCCGAGGGTAATGGCCCGATTCCCGGTTCTATGCCCTTCCGCGAGAGGGTGACAGAGAAGGGCATGCAGTGCAGCAGTTTGTTTACGTTTTTTTCACTCGGTCAGTTGACATGACCGTGGACCCACAGCACTCAAAGCAATACCTATAACATGTCCACCCAGGTTTTTCTGCTGCAGTACCTTCTGCGATGGCTACAGTCCAGCAATGCCCTGAAGTGCCTTTCGAAAGAAGGCGCCTTCAAGCCCGAGGCGGGGGCAAGTAGATCCACTGGAGCGTACACAACTCAGTTCCAGGGCAGTTGCGGACACCGCAGACTTGCAAGGGCGCTGGAACCACATTTCGTTATAAGGAAGGCTGCTAGCTTGAAGGGTTTCAGTGGTATGCCACCAAAATATATGACCGAGCATCCACCCAGTTTGGGCGCCGTCTCCGAGACTTCGTACCGAAATTTCCTGAAGAGTGGAGCGGCGTGGAACAGGTGATCACCTCACTGCTGGAGGCTTTGGCCTCGGAGATGGGCAAATGCCTCCGATGGCAGCAGAAGTGGCAGCTCAAGGTTCCTTGGATCAGGGCTCGTACATCCAAGCAGGGCCGGGGCCGGGGGTGGGGGTGGTTAGGGTTATTAGGGCAGACATTTAGCGATGTTTGGGGGTATCATGAAGAAGATGACGATTGACTCCAATGCTGCACCAGCCACGTTCTGGTCCTGGACTTCCTGTTCTCAGTTGACTCGGGGTTGCGGACTCACTTCGGTTTTTGATGCGTGCGGTTTAGATTCTTGCCCCCAAACAACACTCCACTACAATGATCTACACAAACCCTTTCGGCCTGAAGATGGGGTCGCTGTGTTGTGGCTGCATTGATCTGTGCTCCAGGCGACTCGAGCTTTGCGAAAAGTCCTGGCCACAACTCGCGAGGCCTGAGCAAATCCTGCTGTTGTTTCAGTGAAGACCAGGAATCGGAGTGTCGGAGTGGCAACAGTGCATAGCAGGTTGCAATGCCTTGGGCGCTGGCTTTCCTCAAGAAGTCTGAGGACAGCTCGAAACCTCGCTGAGTTTGCACGCTCCAACCTTACAGCGAAGCTCCCAGGATCCTCCCGCACTGCTGGTCGCCGCTGTCACCACCAGTGAAGGCGTCGATCGTGCTGCTTTGGTCGAGCTCTACACCAAGCATGCCCTCCTGGCGGCATGTCAGACGGATGCAAGCTCCACTCCTTGTGTTGTTCAGGCTTCAACCTGGAGGGGTTTAGTCTGTAAGGCTCCTTCAGTTTTCCTTGCCGGCATGTGCTGGAGAGTTGATCTGTTTGGAAGGGGCAGAGGCAGGGCAGGGTACGGACTAGACATGTCCCACTTCTCGGTGATGCGGGCGAAAGCGGAATCAGCCGCCTCTAGGTCCTGGAGGCCAAGAAGCCCTTAGCCGAGTTCAGCCGCCCGCTTGCAAAAGATCGAGGGCTCGCAGGAGTGATTCTCACTTGGTCTCCACCTGCAGCGTAGTGATCCTTCGGGCACTGAATGCCTTAGAGCTTCTTACTGAAAGTTGAAGGGGGTAGCTGCTGCAGATACTTGATCGTGTGCCGCAAGCGGCCTCTTGCTTTGGCCAAGTCCTGGCGCACAGAAGCGAGGCCTCGCCGCATGGGGTCCAGCAGTGACTGCTGCCAGCGCAGAGGACGGCGGGCTGTCGCGCGCGGTGCGGTTCAGTCGCTGTGACATCCGGCATTTGCCCTTGCAGGAGTTCGAAAAGCAGCTGCTGCCGACAGCAATGCGCATGATGCAACCTAGCAGCAACTTTAACATGGACCAGGAATGGGAAGACGGAAGACGCCTTTAAACTTTTGAACATCTTTCGACGATCGTATGTAGGCTGCAGAGTAAAGGAACCGAGTGTTTGCCGTGACGGGAACCGGATGTCCGGGGCGGGAACCCGTAACAGGAACGGGGACCGATCCCGTAACAGCAACCACCAGTTCCTCTAACACTCCCCAGCCGCCACCCTCGTAAGAGGAACCAGTGCGGGCCTGCAAGAATGACTTGTTTCACATCCACCTGCTCTTGTGGGCTCGCCAACTCAGGGGCCGCTTTCCGGTCCCCCACTGAGACGGCTTCAAAATGTCATGTCATGTAACACCAGAAACTGACCTGGTATGTCCATGTATGTCCACAGTAACCTTTGTCCTGAATTTCCGATGGCTACAGCATCGGTGTTGCCATTAACGCTCCAGAATAACGTGTCTGTTGCGAAGGAAACTGCAAATTTCGTGACTTGTATGCACGATCGTATGACGAAGGCTCCTGTGTGTAGTCTCGTCACTTCTTTCTTCGTCCTACTTCTGGTGCTAAGTGCTGATCGAAACCCCAAACCCCAAAGCCATTCTCGACAGGCAAATGCCTGAACCCTTGAAGCTGACCCGTCAACCCTAAACCCTTGAAGCACTAAACCCCTGAACCCCTAAACCTCCTAGTTTTGGATGGATGTTGTGGGCTCGAGTTTGCATGCGCTGCACTTTGTGTCCTACCCAGGAAACGCCAGCCTGCAGCCAGCGCAACCTCCTTTCCTGCCATGGTGCTCCCCCGTTTTGTCGCGAGTCATACTACAGTAGCCAGCGCACGCCGCTGTGGTGCCACAAGAGTGAAATGGTCACGTCCGCGCTAAAGAAAATCCGGCGTAGTTAGCTCACCTCATGCGGCAGGTGAGCAGCGCGAAGCTGGATCTTTCGTCTCAGGCCAAGGAGTTGCTGGAGCTCGCGCCGGAAAAGCTGAAAGACAAGGCTCGCGCCGACAATAACGATTGCATGATCATGTGACAGTGATGGTGTTATGAACTTGTTATTAATTGCGCATGAAGACCGTGAAGGACTCCAGGACGACGGCGGCTACCGCACAACAAAAGAAACGGCATCAGCAATAATGAGAACAGTGAATCTAGTAACATATGCAGTGCATCTTCTTGTTACCCTGCTCCCGTGATGATGGTGCTGTTACCGAAAACTCGCACAGCTGCTGCTGTCGCTGCTGCCAATGCTGTTGTTGTTGCTGCATCGTGAACGGTATTTTTCGCGTATAACTTGACACAAAAATCGATGTGTTGGGGACGGGAGGGAAAAGGGGAGGGCATGAATTTTTGTGTTTGTGCTTTTGCCTGTTTGCTCCGTGCCTGCTCTTCTTGGTGGTGGTTTGGCTCATGGTCCTGCTGATAGTCGTTCCTCGTCAACAGCAGATTATCCGGTAATTACGGTGAACAGAGCAGCAAGAACAAACTCGAAGCACCAAACGCAGGAGAAGCGCTTGGCCGGCCGACAGCTTGTCCGCGATGTGGTGGCAAAGTCGGCTGATTTGACGGCACTGGTAGCAGTCGCTGAGGCCGCAGATGAAGACACGACCCTCCACAAGACACTAAGTTTCAGACGTAAGACTATGCCAATCTTTCTATGGCAAGTGGTCAGGGACTGGTTACGCCGATCCTGTGAAATTTCCGGAACAGTAGGTTCGTGCTGCGCACTCCCTTGATGCGCGCTAGCTATGCCTGCCAGCTTTCAGCATGCGGCACTCCATGTCCCTGCAGT